GGTAGTGAATGTACACAGAACGTCAGATGAAACATTTAAAAATTACTAAAGTAAACCATGATAGAGGAAACCCGACTCACAAGCCATGGAGTAGAATTCTGTATAGCCTTCAAAGAAGAGCATTTTCTTAAAATTTCAGATCATTGGAAAAGAGACTTTGCTACTTACTTTCCCATGCTAATTTTTAAAGTGTTATGACCCAAAGAACAAAACTGACAAAAACATGGACTCATTTTTCTTTTGACTATAGATCCTGAAATTCTAAATGCACTATTATTAAATGACCCACAGTGTGTTTAATAGCAAATAGATTAGAGTTCTCCTGAAAATGTAAGATAGTTCAACAATGACGTTTAATAGCTTATTGCTTAAACAAATTAAAACAGTCATTATATTACCAGATGCTTAAAAGAGATTTGATTAAATTCAGCATTGATTTCTAGTAGCAACTATAAATGAATGAATAGGAAATAACCTTAATGAGGAAACAACCAATGCAATAAAACCTACTTATCCCAAATCCAACAACATATTTTTGTTGTTGTTGTTCATCAAGATCCATTGACTTTTATTTTTCTTTTTTGGTACCGGGGATTGAACTCGGGTCCTTGTGCTTGCAAGGAAGGCCACCACCACCGACTTTTAAATGAGGAAGCAGAGAAGAATTGATGCTATTGCCTTTTTTTTAATTTTAATTTTTTGGTTCTGGATTGACACCAGGGCCTTGTACATGCTAAGCAATACTCTGCCCCTAAGCTGTACCCCCAGACCTCACTGCCTTTATTTTCAACACTATTACAGAGGTCATACAAACTAGAAAAAGATAAGGAGGCAGTCATGAGGATGGAAGGAAGGAGACCCAAATTTATCATAATTTAAGGTATAATTATATATAAAATCATAATAACCTCATTATTACTTGCATAATTAGAAAAATAATTCGGCAAGTTGTTAGATATAACACAAAACTGGCAGCTTTTTATTATGGTACTGAATGATATTTATGATATTTTCTACTCACTGTTCAGTTTGTGGGTTGCACACACTTCAGCCCACAAGATGGGCAGCATTTCTCCTTCAGTGGACAATCAGCATCATTCAGGCACCAGGGTTTATTAACGAAGTTGCATGACAACTTGTCATCTGGGCAAAAGCCTGCTTTGACTTTAT